ATTGTGAAAAATGGAAATTAACACCTTGGCTTGTAATTGTGCGTGAGATTTGTTTCGAGGGTTAAATACGAGAAATTTAGAAGCCAATAAATTTTAAACATTCATTCATTTTGCTGTTAAACTGTAAATATATTTATTGTTTGATATTTGTTACGAAAATATATTAGGTCGATGTAACTTTATTTGTTTCAGATTGGTAAATTTAATTAATACAATTGGGATTCGTTTATTTGATGTGAAATTTTTAAATTAAGTTTGTTTTATTTAGGAAAAATTAAGTACCAAGCGTGTACTTTGACGTTATACTAAAATTGGAAGAATATCGAAAAGTGAAGTTGATTATTTTCACTTCGAAACTCGAGTTAGTGTGATTCACTTTTGCAAATTCATTTCCATCGCAATGCAAATTTTGTATCGTGCTCGTTGTTAATTTTTCCTTCCATTCGCATGTGCAAACGTGTGAGCGACTTTTTTATATAAAAATAAGGCATATACACTACCGGCCAGAAGTTCGGAATCATCGAGCATTGCAATATACACAAAAATTTCCAGAAAAAAGTCAACGACTTTGAGAATTTTTTATCGTTCGAATCAATCGATATGAGATAAATTGATAAATGTAGAATTGAGATAAACTTCAAATCTATGAGAAATTAGCAGCAGATTTAATATTGATGAAAAGTGGGAGGTGATTCCAAACTTTTGGCCGGTAGTGTATGTAGTCATTTTTGCGAATGTGGCAGACGATTGGGCATCTTTGAAAGAGGAAGACAACAGAACATCGACGATGTCTCGTAAAATCAATCTGCTGTGAAAACAGAGTCAAAATTGAACGAAAATGTATCGCTAATTGCGCAGCAAGAGCATCAATCATGTGGGTTTACCAACTTTAAAGAGATACGTGTCAACCCGTGTTGGAGGAAACGTGATAATGAAGAGAGTGTTTGCTGTAAATCTTACGGCGGCTTAACGAGCGCCAAAGTGGAACCAGCTTTTTGAAGCTCGTGCATACGATTCGTTGTGCAATCGTACGCTGCTAACCTAGGAACACCCATGAAAAAGGAAAAAGGGGAAAGAAAGAAGTAAGAATAAATTCGATGTTTACGATGCCCCTTACGTTTTTTGAAAATTTAGCTGAAAATTTACTTGAAAATTTGCTTGAAAATTTAGCTGAAAAGTGAGCTAGAAATTTAGCTGAAAATTGATTTGAAAATTTCGTTGAAAATTTAGCTGGAAATTTAGCTGAAAATTTCGTTGAAAATTTACTTGAAAATTTGCTTGAAAATTTGCTTGAAACTTTCGTTGAAAATGTAGCTGAAAATTTACTTGCAAATTTGCTTGAAAAATTCGGTGAAAATTTAGCTAGAAATTTAGCTGAAAATTTCGTTGAAAATTTAATTGAAAATTTAGCTGAAAATTTACTTGAAAATTTGCTTGAAAATTTAGCTGAAAAGTGAGCTAGAAATTTAGCTGAAAATTGATTTGAAAATTTCGTTGAAAATTTAGCTGGAAATTTAGCTGAAAATTTAGCTGAAAATTTAGTTGAAAATTTGCTTGAAACTTTCGTTGAACATTTAGCTGAAGATTGACTTGAAAATTTAGCTGAAAATTTCGTTGAAAATTTTCTTGAAAATTTAGTTGAAAAAGTATGGTACCTTGAGATCTTCAGAGGTTCTGATATTAGGTCTAAACGCAGGAACAGTCAAAAGCGAGGACCAATGGCCTTGAAACACCGCGTTCACTATCAGCAACCATATGAACACGTTCGTGAAGAAGATTCTAAAAGGATTGTCTCTGGGCAGTCTGTACAGCGAAACTTGAGTAATCAATCGAATCATGTTCAAAACAGCTGGCAGAAATCCTTGGTATTTTGTGAGCACGTAAGATGTAATTATGGACATAACCATGTTTCCCATCATTACAGTTGGGGACATAAAGGAAATGATCTTGATGAACTCTGATATTTCTCCTGCCTGCTGAGTAATCACGCACAACCCGTCTTGCCCATGGGGATACGTGTGCCTGTAATAAACGCAACCTTGTAACCCTTTCTTTATTAATATCAAGCAAGCTCGCTCTTTCTAGATTGACTCTGTTCCAAGGTATACACGTTGGTTTAACTGTTAGGGACCGTTTATTGAGTTACGCTGATTTTGTATTCGTTGTCAAGTTTTTATGGACGCGCAATTAACTCTTTACTCTTAGCTGTTCGTTCTTTGGAAATTGCTTCCAAAAATTTGGGACTACTTGTTAATTTACATCGATTTTAAATTCATCAATTTTTTACCAATTTGTCATTGATTCTTTACTCTTAGCTCTTTGCAAATTGACTCAGTTCGAATATATAGCATCGAATAATAAAAATATTGTCGAATGTGACCTTTACAATTTTCTTCGCGATTCCCACAAATTGCAATATTTTCAAAAAATTTTATACGCGTCATCTAGTATACTAATCCTTCTAACTTCTCAAAAAAAAAAAAACTCAAGTCGTTGGATCCAATTTAGAAAAAGTTATACTGTTCTAAACAGTGTCCGAATACTAGTAAGAGTCACTGTATCTCGCCACACAAAATGGTAGCAAACTTTTGTCCAGCAGTGTACATTTCATTTCAAGTAGATTATTCCAGCCAGGTCAGCCGCGATACTTCCACAAGCCCCGACCGTTGGTGGTATCCGTGGCTGAAAACCGTGACAAGAATTCTCTCGTTGACAACCGAAAGAGACACATACTCGACCTTCCACATCGTGTACAGGCTCCTCACGTTCATGCCCATGTCCACTTCGCCATTGGCCACGTCCGCCAGCATTCCCACTATGTTCCCATTGCTGTCAATCCCGCCGAGATCGTAAACAGTCCCATTGTACACGCGCACGTTCAAGTTGGCGTTCAATTTGCGCAACACTATCTTCATAATCTGGCTGTTGTCGCCGGAGAATTTATCCCAGCCGGATTTGCTCGGATCTATGCGAAGATGCGGCGCGAACGAGATCGCGTTCAATCGAACCTCGTAGCCGTTTAGATTCGTCGTCTTGTCGAACATCAAGTCTTCGCATACGTTTGGCCCTTGCGTGATTAACTCGTATAATTAATTATTGTGGAATTGGAATAACGGAAGTAGCGGATGTCTGATACCGGGAGCCAAAATGATCCATTAGCGACATTAACACCGCTGGAAACTCGAATGTAAAGCTTTGGCTGTTTGCGATTGAGTTATGGCGTTGATAGTCGTGCTACGTATTTCGTTAGCCAAGTCAGCTTTTGCTGAATACTTTGTAATATGTAGATGTGAAAAGTAGAACGCGATGAGATTTGTGGTGGGTGAAAAAGAGATATATGTTTTACACGATAGACAAATACTGGCTGATTGGTGGTGACTATTACTTTTTATTTTTCGTGATGTCTCAAAGTTGGTGATAGAATCTCTTGGAGAATCTGTCTTTTTCTGTGTGTGTTTGTGTTTTTATAAGTTCGGTGTGTACCGTGATTGGTGGTGTGAAATGTGTGAGAAGTGGTGGGAGTATCGGTTGATTGGTGTTTGGGACGTGTGGTAGGGTTTGTCTGGTGGAGTCGAAGTGGGGAAATTGTTGCTAAAATTGTTATATTAGGGGATGGGAAAATCCTGAGGTCGGAAGGTGGTTTATGAGTGTAGTGCATGTGGTGTCCAGATGTAGGGTATTCGACTTTCTAAGGTAATAAAACAATTTGCTGATGGCGAGGAGAGAGACCAATTTACGGAAAATATATTATTTGTGAATATGGTAGGGCTCCATTGTTTGAGTCCTCGGTACGGTCGAACAGCGGTGATAGTATCCAGCGTTCGTTTATCACTGAGAATCTATAGGCGTTGGTGGCAGTCGAAGGGTTAATTGACCCATGTTGGAAATATTGAATTAAGGTTCAAATGAATTGGATGGTCAGGTTATATACTGTTTTGTTCACTGTGTTTTATGCCCCTCTTACCAGGAAGCACACTTAAATTGCCAATTTTGTGGACAGTAACCCTTTGTGGATGGAAAACTGTGTGTCACGACGAAGTACTGATTGCTTGTGTGATACATAATTAGGTCACTGCTTCAGTCTTTTTTTGAACTTAATTAAATGATGTAGGTACATGAGTTGATGATCACTCTTAACTATTTTGATTGCTTAAAAATATCAGCTTATTGGTTGCGTTCACAGTGTTTTGTGAATGTATATATGAGTCTATCGTTATCAAAGGGTTAAACCAACGCAACGACAGGTTACTCGCCATCCCTAAATTTCCTCTATCTTCTTTCAATCAATCCTGACACTCGGTAGCTAAGTGACTTCGAGTCACTGGCAATTATTGGTAATCTGGATTGCCTTTTCTCATAAACATTCTCTCTGACCCCGCGCAACCTAAGTATTACTTACGAAAGTAAAATAGCCTTCGACGACCCTTGAAAATACATTTTCCCTAAAAATCAACTTTCCAGAAAAAGTGAACGTTCGATACTAACAAGTACTATCATTTGCAATTTTCCCACTTTGTTTTCTGCATGCACACATCCATTTCCGCCAATATGAATCTAATTTTTCCATCGCGTTTCAATTGCACAAAGATTCACTTTTGCAAAGTCGCTAATGGGTCATTTCTAACCCTTGCCAGTCATTCCAGCCTTAATTTGGGACCTACCATCGGGAAACTTTCTTTTCAATAAAATCCAAGGATGTCCGCTGCGTCCTTTAAATTGTCCAGCATCCTGCCAACTACTCGGCGCATCGTTGGAATAAGGATTATAAGTATACAAAAGCAAACCTTCGTCAGGATCGATGCACATGAATATCGTCGAAAGTCTATCGTATTGCCAAGCAGTCCAGAGAAAGCTATGAGCATTTATGCAACCGTGTTCCTCGGTTTTTCTGTCGACGAGAATATGCAATCCGTTGAAGTTCGCCCAAGGGGCGTCTTTTATTTTCTGCAAGACCGATTGAAGCGTCGGCTGCGAGGATGCAATTACGACGAATTGGTGCAGCTTCCATAGTAAGTGCAGAAAGGAGAATTGTTGGAACACGTTGAAGGAGTATCTGCTCATAGTGTAATGTTCGTAGGCTGTCGATTTCGATTCTGAGATCAGAGCAACTGGCAGATCTTCGATCGACGAGAAGTGAAAGAATTCTTCGTACTCTCCGGC